GTTGTGCAAAGTCACCTATTACATCCCTTACATTCAGCTGGCAGGTTTGAGTCTTTTTCTCCCCACACTTCTTCACAGCCATTTGCTCAAACCAGCTTTTGCTTTGGAACACTGCTATTTGTCAGCTGCCATTATATCCGTTATACCTGTTGTAACAATGCTGAGAGTGTGAACGCCCGACTGACAAAAAAATTGTAAAAGTTACTCATGTGTCAACCTTTTTAATCAGTCAGTCCGCATGCACTTACCAATGACACAATGATGCACCGTGCAACATTCAATACAGGCCTTTGAGATAAAGACCAGAGTTGAGACAGTGCTTTGTTGCTAAAGCGATATCCGTCCACTTCACAGGGAGACTTCACACTGGAAGACCCCATGCCCTGATTCCAACCATGAGGCCTCTCGCTATGAGGTATGGTGCTACTCATTGTAACACTGTGCAGCCCTAAACCAATGTCAGTGGCAGCAATTATGTTTTATATTGGTAAAAATGAATAGGAAGAATTTGAATGCAAAGAAATGCAAAGCATTGCTTTACAGTAACCTTTATAGAGTGAAAGCACACAAAGCTGACCCTCTGGCCTTCTCTATAATGGCAGGTAAGTACTTTGATGTACAATAGACAATAATTTTTTTTCTGTGTGGAAAATCCACTCAGAAGAGTGAATATTGATAGAAGCCTGGCTATAAGTGAAATGGAACAATAACTTAAGGTCACCACATTCAGTTGTGATGATGTCTTTCGCCCCAGCCTGTGTTGACGAAGCCTTGAAAAGAGAACTGAATTATTCAGTCTAAAGTTCAGCAGAAGATTTTTGCACTCCGTTTTTCACCTCCGTTGCACAATGAATGAATGTTAATTTGTAGTTTCTCAGAAAAATACTTGAGGTCACAACCTTAAGAGGTAATTATAGTGGACCTTCAATGCCTAGCTTCTTTATTTTGCATTCAAAAGCTCAGTAGGTCTTAAATCAAACTGCTTGCCATTTTGCATAGCTAAAAACTGTTGAACAGCTCCATGCTGTCCATAATTGCTTTTCTATAACACCATTATACCAAATTGTAATATGATTATGTCCAAACAATGGAGGACTATCACAGACTCTACTATTAAGCACATTCAGAGTTATCACCACTGATTGGATTGCATGGAGTGGGAGATGCTTTAGTTGCCATTAGCATACACAAACTAAAGATGGAAACAATAGTAATGCAGAGGAAAAAAGAGCCATGACCTGCTCCTCTCTCCGTTTCTCACTCCTTTGCCGTCTTTTCACTGGCGCACTACGCCTGCTTAATACTGTTTACAAATAGACGCCTCACCCAATTGACATATTCTGCTCTCATAACTTCAGAAATCTAAAGAATTGTCCCTCTTTAGTGATAAATTGACATAGGTGCATATTTTATTACAAGCTTCACCCATCTACCAACACATGTCCTGTGTGTAAAAGTGTACAATAGAGCGTGGGGGAAAAATCTATTAAAAAAACCTTACAATTTTGAGAGAATGTGGTGCACAGAAATTGATTTGAGCGACTATCTTAGCTTAAAAACTGCTATATAAAAACAGTCTGCTGTCCATTTTTTCAACCCATTAATTAATGTGCAAATGTGCAGTAGGTTGTTTATGTGCAGGCACACACAAGGTTAATCATGACTGTTTTCAATTAATCATGTATTCTTGAGAACATTTTTTTTATTTAGTTTTGTTGTTTTTTTATCTAACTTAATATAGTCTATTTATTCTGCTGTGTAGAAACACTGAAATAACTATTGAAATTGCTAGTCTAAAATCTCCAGTTGCTTAAAGTGGTATGTAATCAAGATTGCATTTGGATAGGTCTCGTGAATACTCTGCGTAACACCATTTGAAGAAAAATAAATAAATAAAACAAGGGTGTCTAAACAGTGTTTTCTAATAAATAAAATAATTAAAAAACATGTGGAAAACGGGCGGAAACATTTTTAAAGTCCTACGTCCAAACGAAAATGTCTGCAGATCCTCTGGGTCTGAATAAGCATCTAATTCTGGTGCATCAAGTCTCACAAGGGACTGCGGTGAGTACACTTTTTTCTGCAACATAGGAGCAAAGAGGGATGAGTTACTGAAAAAGAAAAGTATAGAACACCAGGAACTTATAAAAAAAAGTCAGTGATCAATTACAGCATTGGTGAAAAGCAAACCCTGAGTCACAGTGGAGTCAATCACACACACGCTCTTTTTTTTTACCCCAAATATCTCACTTCAATTATTTTTCAGAGAAATAACTTCACAGTAATTTCTGCACTGAGATTCAAATATGGTGATGAATGTAAAAGGATTAATTAGCTTAATAAATTGGCTTCAGTTTGAACACATGTCTTTCCCACAGAGAAAAACAAAGTACATTATCTTTAAAAAAAGATACAAAAACAAAAGAAATTGTACTCCATCTTGGGAAATCTGTGCTTGCCTTTGAGAACAGACTAAATTAAACAAGATAGGAGCTATAGAATCCTCCCACCCGGTGAAATTCTCACAGGGGAAATATTATGGCCAAAACAATGTTTTATTTTATTTTTTTCTGACTGTTGTGTCTTTGGGGTTGTTCCATTAAGATGGAGAATCTGATTTGACACAAAAACCCGTTGGATAGCCAGTCAGTAGTATCAAACTGTGACAAACTGCAATGCACACACGTAAAGACAGCAAGTGGCAACGGTGGAGGTGTTATCTACTAAATATAGCCTCCGGCTCTAATTCCAGCCCAACAAGTGGCCTATGCATTTTTAACATTTGGACAGGCCTACTAGATACTAGAACGTATAACAAAGACTCGACATGTTGATACCCCCAAAAGCCGACGATGACAAAGGTCGGGAGGTTTGTTAAAGTTTTATGCCTGACCATCACCAAACTGTATTTTCCTTATACGTTCACAAAAAGGTTTTAGTCTGAAGTACACGTGTTATTTTCAGTATGTGATAACATATAAGCAGGCATTATACAGAAGAGCATCAAACCTCCGAAACTTTGATATGCATGACGTATCTAAAGACAAATCTAAAAAGCGTGATTTTCCATTTCTTTCTGACAGGCAAAAAAAAAAAGAGTCCAATGACATCAGATGACAGATTCCACCACTTAAAGCCTTAGCGAACAAATAGGTGGAGATAGTATTTACTAGATGGCAGCCCATTCTCACGTACTGAGCGTGAGGCTGCTGATATTCATCACACGTGTTTAACGTGAACGTCTTTTTCATTTTTTGAGAGAAATTTCCAAATTTTTCAATGACAATAGTGTAGAACAACAAAAGAATCCTTATAAAGCTCAATTAGGGAAAGCAGACAGCAAAGAGGTGAAGTTTGTAATTCTCACAATATTTTGTAATGCTTTGGGCTGTGCTGGAGAGCGGCCATCAAAATATTCAAGACAGTGTAAAACAGTCTATCCTGAACCCTAACGCTTAACCAAACAATAATATACAGCTCCAAAGAAAAAGGAACCTGGATGTAGCTAATTGGGCAGTGCACTGGTAACATGCTTGTTTAGCTTGCTGTCTTTTAGCTTTGGAATAGTTATTCATGACTGAAGTATTTCAACATTTCAGGAAACATTTAAACCTGCAGCAGGTTCACAGAAGAATGGGTGTTGCACTTTCCATGGACAAGCCTTTATGATTAACTGTCTACATCAAGCTTTAAGACCTGGGCGCTCCTGGATTCTAAACACATAACCTTGTTAAGTGGGCCCTCGACTGGGGCCGGCTGACCGAAACCCATCTCTGAAACCTTGTTACTCTTACTTTGATGCACAGTCCAGCTCACACAGGCCACATTCAGCAGCTAAATGATGTCACATGACAATCTTGATGATTAGAAACCGTTCTTTTTTAAATATGAGTGTGGATCTGTGTTCCTGATCTCTACTGCTCAGATGGAAACATAATGCAATTTGCCACCTGTTACAAGTGCTGCGGCTTTATGAAAGCACCGCTGTGCTTCCTCCTGTCATTTGTCTGACAGGACAGAGGTCATCTTCTGATGTTTCAGTCAAGGTGGACAGGATATTCTTTGATTTGAAAATGGACGGATGATAACCTAATGACAATTGATGTGGTACAAAATTACACATACCACGGACATTCTGGGCCCGAACAGTGACATATCTTATACCACTAACTTAATCCATGAGTGCAACCAAAGGTCCGGACAGCTGCACGACTCAGTTTTCATTGTGTGCTCAAATAAAGGTAATGTCTGAGTGCTACTTCAGGCATAATATAAATATATGCTGAGGGTTTAGCTTCAAATCTTGACTTTTTGTAATGCCGTTTCTATTGTCAAACATATAGACTGTGTCAGTGGGTAAAATCTACTACTCTGAGTTTTATCTCAACAACATCTGTGGAACTGTGAAATACCAACAAACGTCAGCAGAGCCTGTGGAAGTACCAAAACCTCCAACAGGACACCCTCAGGTAACGTCTGAAAAAAATTGATGACCAAATAAATCAATAATCACTTGCCAGAAAGTGATCATCCCTTGTTGCATGGGTTCTCAGATCAAGCCAGGCCCACATCTGCTCACAAAGGTGTAAGAGTTGGCGAAGTAGTAGCTTACAATTCTTTAAATCTTTGAAAAGACAATGGGCGTTTACCTTCAGCTGTCTTATTACTGACGGATGGACAGGTGCGACCTCCTATCGCCATCTTTGGTCTCCGTCTAATTACAGTGTGCAAGTTGGTGACTTACATCGAGTGACTGTAACGGAGGATGAATCTTTGAATGTATATATATATGGACTGCGTTGTGTCTTCACCTGTTTGTCACAAACTTCGTCTTTACGCGCTGTTTCTACGACTGTGGACTGAGTTAATCGTTTATTTTCATACACACTTGAGCGTTCTCTCAGTTTGTCACTCCTGCACTTTGCGTAATATGATTGGCTCACTGGGATCACAACGACGTCTGTAATCGCCATTGGTTTATTTTCTATTATGGGCGGGACAGAGTAAAACAACCCGGAAAAACATTGCGTTTGGCGAAACTGTGGAAAGTGACATACATTTCGGCATTTTAACGATAAGTCATGGGTAAATATGCATTTAATTTTTCACATAGAAAATATAGCTCCACGTAATTGTCCGCCTTATCTTGCCATGTCTCCTACAAGCAACAGAAACAACGCGTCTGCTTTGTTTTAACGGCGCTCAGTCAGCATGACTTTCCTCTCGCTGTTTAAAATGCAATTTACTGTTTTGTTTCTAATGGGTCGCCGGAGTTTATTGCCCCGGAGTTTATTGCATTGTTTAATATATACAGCTAAAAAGAGCTGCTATATAGGACCTGGTATTAAATATGAGCGTGGTCCAGGTTTGTACTTGCGAAAAAATTGCATGTAACCTTGTGAGACCATACTTATTCAAGAATATGTTCTACAGCCCTGCAAATAATTCCATTATTTCCCTAAATAATCAGAGGCAGAGATCAAATCCTTCCGCAAAGAGATTCAAGGCAAAGTTGATCACATTGATTTTTAGGTGTCTGCTCTCCTCAATTCTTTCATCCCAATCATCACTCCTCTGCTCTTATCTGTCTTTTGGATATATATTTTTTTCCCCATTGCATTCAACCGTATTGCTCAAACACACTCTGCCAAAATCAAATCCCCTCTGTGATTATCACATAATGCTCTTGCCTTATTATCAAAATGGAACAGATTTGTGTTTTGTTGTTGTCAAAGACTGATTGATGCAAGGGGAAAAAAAATCAGTAGGCAGTTCTATTATGAGGATATCGTGGTGTAGATGACTGAATGACAAGTATTGGAATCCTCCATGCACCTCTGGATCTGAACTCTGAGCTCCACGAGTGTGCTTTCTAAAGGAGTGACTCCTTAAATCGGGTTATGGTTTCTATCTGGAGTCAAGGGGTCATTTTAGTATAGTTTTTTAAATGGGGGCAAATGACAAAGGCAACAAGAGTATTTTGGAAATACTTTTGCCTTTGGTGCACTCAAGAATACCAATACAGATTGAACATTTTTACATTTCTTGTGATATTTATTTATAGATATAGTTATATAGATATAGTTGAGCAAAATTGATTGTAAAGTATAAAAAAAAACTAAATAGAGGAAGCCTCTTCTTTCTGAGGCTTAAACCTATTACTAGTTGTGACTGCTTGTCACTCATGTACGTTATTCTTTCAAACTTTGAACACTTAATAATTTAAAGCATCATGAATGATGATGATTTAAGAAATGTGTATTTTGATAAACATGAGAGCTGTGTTAATTTACACTATGGAAGAATTTTAATACATAGTTGCCTTTCTTTCATTTTCTTCAGAAGGTCAGTATTTTTATTTTTTTATTTTTTTGTGGGCCTCTATATTCAGGTTTCAGGCTCTTTTTTTCAAAGCAAACCCTAAGGAAGGAATAACTGAATTGCTGTTTATTCATTTAACTGGATTTAAAGTCGTTATTAAGTGCATTGTCATTACAAAACAATTTTGAACTTAATATTTGACAGGTTAGCATACATGAAGTGAATGTGTCAGACTCACAATACAGCATATTCTACCTTTCATTACGTTTGCTTCGTAACATGGTTAAACTCAGAAATCAGTTTAAAATGTGCAGTTCATAAAAGCACATTATCATATTTTTTTATAAAATCGAGGAATCAAACATCTACTTTGGGATGAATTGAAAAAACCTTTAGAAGTCATGTCTACACTGTAAGTTTGACTTGCAAACTGTTGTGTCTCAATCCTCTGAAGCCTTTACATTCTCACAGAATTCTAGTTGGAGACAAAGAAGCGTCCCCCCAGAGTTTTCTGCTGCGCACACATGTAAATCATTGGAAAGATTTTTAAAACTCAGACAAAAATTTTTTCCATTCATTCTCAACCCGCTTTTTATCTATAGAGAGAGGTGAAGAAATACACTGATCACATATTTCACCGGATAACCCATTTCATTTGCAGAGTTTCTTTCTCATTGGCTCCTAAGAAAGACACTAATTCAGTTCTCTCATTTATTAGCTGTTCTGCTTTTTTCCTTCCACATTTATTGTGCCGTTCTGCCCTCTAAATGTTTCATGACCTTTTAAGTTGTTTTTTTGCAAACCCTTGTTCTTATTACTCGCACAGCCTTAGCATACTCAACCTTTGTACTCATGAAATCAATTAATTCTCTTAAATAATTCACCTTCCGAGCAAACCAGATTAAGCGGAGCACATTTTTGTGTGTCAGCTGTGCTGTTCTAACTGATGTGTTTGGTGCGTGTGTGTGCGCGTCCAGGCATTAACTTGGCTCTCACCCCACAGCTCAGAGGAGTCTTGGGTGATTAGAGAAAGAGGGGAGCCTTGATAAAGCATTAGTGTGTGATGCGCACACAGCCCGAAGACCCCTCTGTGCATCTGCACACATTCATTTTTCATGAAATAGACTCATAACAATTAGTCTGGTTACCGCCTGGGTAATCTTAGTGTCCCCATAATGCCTGTGGTCTATGTATGACATCACTCTCTTAAAAGTTCTAAACCTGACATTCTCATCTGTTTTCATAGCGAGGACATTAGCAAGCCTTGGTTAATGGCTCCTCACTCCTTCCTGGCGAAAGAAAGGCAATGAAATGAAGGAATGAAAGGGAAAAAAAAAAGATTGAAGTGGCCAGAGATATAGGTTTTTATCCAGCTGGGCTTTTACACAAATGAATTTACATGAATGAATGAAGAAATGTTGTAAAAGTTGTAATCCAGCATGCTTTGCCAACACATAACCTTTTTTCTTTTTCTCCTCGAGCATCATAGAAAGCCAAATGAACATGGGTTCATTCTTTCAGCCAGTACATTATACCATCAGCCGCTGCCCCGTGTTAAGGAATTGCAGTTCCACAACACGGAAGGAGTCAAATGGAGACTTCTGACCCCAGTGTTCCCAACCAGAATGGAATGATAGCAGCTTCCTTGCATTTCACCTCCAAAGAAAAAAAAAACAAAACACAGTCCCCAAGAGAATCTCCATCCTCCCAGCATCCCCCAGTCTTTAGTCCCCTGGCCTAAACACCCTCATCCTTCCCCCAGACACCAAAGCCAAGGTCAAGAAGAAAGCGCGGTATTCCTCCGTCTATAGGCTATTCCCAGGGCACCCGCACCTCGCTAAAGCCCAGCCATGTGTTTTTAGGAATGCTCCCTCCTCCTTTGTTGTGACCGTCACTATCAAGGTCAGCTCCCAGGGAGAGGTTTGAGCTTTATCTGTTTCTCCCCTCCCTTATTTTCTCACCTTACTTATCTTTTACACCCAGTTCCCTGCCTCGGTGTATCAGCGGGCAATGGCTCAGAGCTCCCAGTTGCCCGTTTCATGACGCGCCTGTCTGTCCATCTGTGGCGTGGCTGTCATCACACCCCCGATGTCTGCCTCTCACAAGACCTTTTGTGGCTGAGAGGCTTCAGGCTGAACCTCCGCATTGCTTTTCTTTCCTCGTTTCTCCTTCATCTCCCCGGTCCTGGCCCCTTTTGCCTTGAAGCAATGTTACAGTGTGTTCCCTGTTAGATTGGATATTGTTGTGTTTGTCTGTAAGCTATGGCAGTCAGCCTTGAGTCAATGTGCTATCTTTGTCTGAACAATATGCACAAGCTAGGAGAGGAAGAAAGAAAGAAATTCATCTGACCTGAATCAAAATACCCTTTAATATTGCCAAGGATATGTTGTCAAAGTAGTTTAACTGCTTTGGTTTGAATGGCACAACCTAAGAATTTTCAGTTGATTTATTTTGTTCTATTTAATTGTGTTTTACTAATTTTTTGCTGTTTTTTTTCTTTTTTCTGTGATGCCTTCGTTCTTGCTATCTAACTCTGTTGGTTGTCAGCCGCCAACTCCCCAAAAAATCTTTTCTTTCTTCTCTCCCAGTCACTTGGGTTTGCTGACCCACAAAAGAATTGCTAAGTCACTTTAGGTCTATCCGTATGGATTCCTCAAAGAAGGGTTTTCCCCGCTTTGGATCTTTATATACTCCATGGTGTGAAAATTCCACACTGTCTGTCCTCAAACACGCACCCCGTCATTGCTGTGTAAACACGGGCATCGACTGCGACTTTTGACTATTACATAAGGACCATGGATTTCCAGCTGTCCACGATAAAAGCCATGTAAATTCAAATGCTTAATTTTTATAGGCAGACCCGCATTGACTTGAGTGTCTGCTTGTTATATATTTGGCAAGTACTGCAAGTCTGAAGGGAGGCTGTCAATAGCAATCCCAGCTATTGATATGGCAGTGGGCAGGAGATGTTACTTGGCCCTCGACTCCAGCATCCCTCTGATCCCTCTACATCATAATTACATTAATATTGACAGACCCTTGACAATAGTCACATTACTATTGATAGGTGGTTGTCAATACCGTGTTTCCCCAAATAAAACATATTCATTCATAACTTGTAAACTGCTCGATAAAAGGCTTTGAAAAGAGTATTGGACCCGGCTGGGTTTACTCTCCCGAGAGGGCTGCTGCTGTGACGGGGATTTCCACCACCTGGCAGTGTGTGTGCTTGTCAGAGTGTCTGTGTGTCTGTGTGTCTGTGTGTGTGTGTGCGCTTCTATGGACTGATAGATTAACTTAGCGCCGCATTAGAGCTCTGCAAAGATCGAGGCTGTCCTTAACATACATTCATAGTCACACACATACACACACAGGCAGATAATCTCCACATTTCCTCCCATCAAGGGAGAAAAAAAAAACTTTGAGATTAAGCTAAACAATCAAAGCCTGTTTATTGGTTGGCATACGCATTCATGCCACCTCCTTTTTTTTTTTTTTTAAATCCAAACTCCCCTCCCGTCACAGTCGAGGTTCATGTCATTAAACATGGCAGCATTTCAAATGCAGTTCAATGAATTTGTCATACCTGCTCACTTCAGCGTGAATTTACTCTTTTTCATTCATTTGCTAATTCTTATTTGGATGATGAATCCCGGCTCTAGTTAAACGTTTTAAGTACACAGATGGTGCCGTGAAGCACAATGAAACCAAGCCACTTCTGCTGCTTTTCAGATTTTTTTTTTTCCTCTTTCACCTCCTCAAAAAACGTCTAAAGTGACCATCAACTCACTCACTCACTCTCTCTCTGTCTCACTCGTTCTGTCAAAACTGCCATATTTACCCGGCTGAAATCTCTTTTAAAGCCTCGTGACAAATCCCGTTCAGCGAGACACAAAAGCGACTGTCAAAAAAAAGGGCCTCTCTGTCCCTCTCTCCCACTATCTATGGCCTTCTTGGTCTGTCTCTCTCCGAGTTAGTTAGTCTTCCACTTCTTAAGCATTTCAGTTAAGGAAAGGGCAGATAAAAAAACTGGAAAACTGTGAGCAGTTCAGAAACGTATGCGGCACAAAATGGCCCGGACGTCACAATGGCGAAATCCCATATGGAGTCGAAACCTAGTGGGGGAAAAAAAAATAGTTCCACATTTGGCAGATGTTTACGGTGTAGCAGAGACTGTGCTGTTAGCCTAATCCCTGGTGATGTGATTTGTACACACACCCCTATCTCCAGAGGGAGCAGGCACCAAGAGCCCCTGGGCCTCGCCTAATGTGCATGTGTGTGTGCGTGTGTGTTTATGCGGCGAGGGAAGGAGTCTGAGACCCCCTGCTCCTCTGCATGGCACAGCTCAAAGCTTGCATTAAGGACGGGTTTTACATGTGAAAAGTGATTTCCGCTCCAATGTATAAAGAAAAATAACCTTCCTAAAAGGATGGGCTTCACCTCCAGGGCCTCATTTCTCCTGACGGCGGAGCTGTGCTTTATTAGTGTTGCCTTTGTGTATGGTTTGTTCATGACTGAAACACACATTTTAGTTCATCCATTTAAAAGGATGCTTTGTCATTATTAGAGTTAGTCTAAACAGTGTAGTAATTTTGAGAAATAGTTTTTCCAAATTAAACAGAAGCAATGACTCTGACTTAGTCTGTGCTTATGATGCACGTACTAGAAAAATGTCCTGAAAGCCATGACTAAAATGTACCTATTCTTTCGTATTTCTTTTCTTCCAGCGGGTCAAGAAACTGAGAGCTACCAAAAAGGGGAAGTCGGAAGTTATGGTTCAGATCTTGATGCTGAGCCCCCGACCCCCGTGTTGCGCATCAGCCAGCTGGACGCTCTCGAGCTGGACTCCGCCCTAGAGCAACTCCTGTGGACCCAGTTCTCCCGGTGCTTCCAGAACTTCCGGCCCGGCCTGCTCACCCCCGTGGAGCCCGAGCTGAGGGCCCTGCTTCACCTGCTGCTGTGGCGATTCACCCTGTACTCTCACAGCGCCACGGTAGGCCAGTCCATCCTGAGCCTGCGCTACCACGCCGCGTCTGACTCGTCCCCCCGCTACCGGCCACTCTCCCCCAGGCAGAAAGTGTGTCTGGCCCTGCTCACCGTTGGTCCCCGGTGGCTCCAAGAGCGCTCCCACCTCCTGCTGCCATGCTTTGGTCTGAGTTCAAGAGGGTCCCACGCCGAGGGAGATTGCGGTTTTCTCCGAAAAACTCTCCACAGTTCTCTGACCGTCGTTTCTGGAATTGCAAAGTTGGCGAGTCTGGTCAACTTCCTGGTTTTTCTAAGGCGTGGCCGTTACCCCGCCCTCGCCGAAAGAATCACAGGAGCTCAGGCGGTTTTTAGCAAACCCAATGTAGTCAGGGACGTAAGTTACCAGTACATGAACCGGGAGCTGCTCTGGCACGGCTTTGCCGAGTTCCTCATCTTCCTGCTGCCTCTGATCAACACCAGGAAACTGAAGGCAGCCGTGTCGTCCTTTGTGTTCGGGGAGAAAAGTTCTGGTGAAAGAAGCAAAAGCGAGGCGCAGGAAGTGTGGAAAGAGTGCGGGCTATGTGGAGAGTGGCCCACCATGCCCCACACAGTGGGCTGCCGGCATGTTTTCTGCTATTATTGCATCAAAAGCCACAGCATCGCAGAATCTTACCTCACATGCCCTAAATGTGGCGCAGAAGCGAGTGAGATAGCGCCTTTTGAAATGGACACACTGGTGGTTGGCAGGTGATGAGTACATCCTCATTTAGGATATGTAGGATCCTCCCAAAGTCTTCCTGAAGTTTTCTGCTCTGTAAATGGGCACATGCAGAAACATATGATGTTAGTATGTGAATACATATCCAGTAATTTGGTTCAACCATTTCCTTGCCTTTTTCTTTTAAATTAAAGACTTAATAGTCATGTTTTTATGACCGAATTTTTCTTAATTATGACTTGTCTGTGCACATGCTATGTTTAATGCATGTGTGCGTATATTGACTGTCTTCTGTACCCTTTTTCTCGGGCTGGACTTTGGATATAACTATTTGTCTTTGGTGCACTGGACAGACTACAGAGAACCACGCAAAGCATATATTTGATGAGTGAATTTGTTGATTTATGCTTCAAATTGGCTCTGTGATGGTGTGCGTGTATGTGTATGTGTGTGTGTGTGTTTGTTGAAATGGGAATATTTGTTCTGATGAAAAATGCAGAAAGTCAGCTGAATAAATAATGGGAGGAATTTCTGATGCCTCTCATCATGGCCAAATTAGCATTTGTTGTGTATTTTGTGCCTAAATTGTATTTCAACATCATTAAAATTGATAGAGTGCTACCTCTTGGGTGTTTATTTAGTTAAGTGGAGGAGAGAGAGAGATGAGGGAAAGTTATAACAATCAGCACACTTCTCTCTAGACAGGCTTGGTCGTTCTAACTCCCATTATCCGTTTTCACAGCACCCCAACATGCTCAAGATCAAGGGGGCAGCCGGGGGCTTGGATTGATTCACATACACTCACTTGACAGCCATCCTCTCTTTTCCCTTGGTCTTTTTCTCTTTTGCTGCCTTTCCATCTCTCTCCCTCTGTAATCTCAAGGGCCCTCGCCCCTATAAGACTGTAGTAAACTGTACCAAAACCCTGGCAGTCGTCTCCTTCCTTGCAGGCGAATTACTCTCTAATCCCTGTAATGAGTCCAAAGATGCTTATTTATGCTGGAGTTAACCTCCACCAGTGAGCCCAGCCCCAGGCCAAACTCACCCCAGCTGAGTGAAGCCTTTCCTGGGCTGACAAGAGAAGTGGGATACGGGGTTGGGAATAGGGGAGGGGAGGGGGGGGGGGGGGGGTGCACTACCCGCTTCTCTTTCTGTGATCACTCGCACTTAATTGCTGATTGCCAAGACGATCAATCAGAACTGCAGGGCGTGATAGAGAGCCTATTGCGAGGAGGCTGGTCTCAGATCTACCAGCACAGACAGACATCACACATTTGCACTATGATGGGGTTAATGTTTTTGCTGGGTGGAGAGCACAAAGCTAGAGATATCTGTCCTCGTGAGACACATGAGAGCCCCGAAGAACATTGGGTGGGTGTACCAGCAGAGCCGGTCTTAAATAATTAATGTTACTTACTATTTGTCCTAGAATTTCGGCAAGTCCCTGTGGTATATGTCCTTTGTGGTGATGCGAGGCCAAAATGAATCAATTGTATGGTTTAAAGCACCCATGGAATTACTGAGAAAATGAAAGCGCACACCTGGCGGTGGGTCTAATAATCCTAGATGATGATTGGTTTGACATTATGTAAAAAAACATGGGACTCATGGCTTGAAACTTGGAGGTCCTCCTGCACATCAAGGACATTTTGACTAATGAATCCAACACTAATGCATATAAAGCCAGAGACAGGATAGACTGGTTGTCAATATTTTATGCACTACATTACATTAATGTGAAGCAAGTCCCAGAAAGTGAGATTAAGGAGATGTTCGAGATTAAGGATGCATATATGATCAACCTTAATGCCGCCGGGACATGTCATTGTCTTAACATTCAGAAAGACTTACAATCCAAACCTTTTTGCTGATATTACTCTGCAACTCTAATTGAAGTCCCCAATCCCCAGGAAAGAGAGGAGATAAAGAAGAAACATTGCATTAAAGTCTATTAATTGAGTTAGGCCATGGATTGAATTAGTTGGAAGTTGGAACAGGGCTCTGGACTTAAGGAAGGTAGCTAGGGCTCAGTTAAGCCTATCTGTCTTTGGATCTTTTCTAATTCACAGGCTCCGTGTGGAGAAGAAAAAGAGGGAGAAGCCCACATTCCCAGCGGCTATGCAAGGCAATCTGCACATTCACACGCAGCCATTTAGGAAGCAAATTGGCCCTGTGCCCCCTCTGACGATGGTTTTAAGAGAAAGGGAATTAGGGCGTTGAATCCCTAACTAGATCTCCTTCTTTGATGAGCCTCTTTATCCGCCTGTCCCTCATCTCCATTTCTTTGATGTAAGGCGTTGATTTTCCTGATTAAATAGTTTTTAAAGTAAAAAGCTCTTCTCTGGGCTCTGTAATACCGGGTACTTTACTGTACCTATTGTAGGTTCGTTTGTGTGCATGCTTGTTGAATGGTCCATCCGTGGTATTCTTTAATTGGAACAGAGCCCTTGGCTTGCAGATAATATAAGGATGGTGCATGCGTATTTTTCTCTAAGAAGAATGTTATCATTAAAGCTCATGCCTGGCTTTTACCTCTTCATTTGAAATGTCTAGAAGGACACAGAGAGCCCTGTGATTCACTAATGAAATTAAAGAGTAAAAACATCTGCGCTTTTTCACTTCAACAGAATTCCATTTCTGATCCCTCCGCTGATGGTGTGAGCTTTTGCCTACTCTGATCAAGAGAGGGAATCGCACGCCGCCTCCTCGTATTGTGGAGACATTTCCAACAACCAACAGTGCTTTCAAAGAGTAAATTGCATTATTTTCATGCCAGGAAAACATGAAACAAAAATGTTCCATTTATTTGTTGACACTTGAGAGGATTTTCTGACACCTGTATATCTTTTTTTTCTTGTGGCATGTCCAATACATCAGGGGGGAGTTACAAGCATCTCATATTTCATCTATTCAATAAAAGGAATGCCAAACATAAAAAACACCAGAATTCCTCGAAGGTAGTAAAATCCGAGGTGTGTCGAAGTTCAGGGTTGCTGCCGCTGCAGGTACGTGTACTATTAGACTTCTTTCAACACCTGCCGGGCTTTGGATACCACCGGGCCCAATTATCTCAGTCTGCCTTTTCTTCTTAACCACCTCTTCAGTCTAACAGGTCAGGGGGACAATCAATCACACCTAAAATAAGGAAGTAATTTCCTGGGCTTTTATCATAGTGTTGAGGTTTTTGTCCGGTTGCATTTCAAACAGAGATGGAGCAACGCTGTTTTGGGAATTCGCACATTTTGGTCTTTCCACTCTTGTTCTTAACACCCAGGATAATTTGGGATTTTTAAATTGTATTTATATCTGTTCACCTCAATATCTGCCGTCTGGCTGAGCAGACGCAAGATCACAAAAATGCTCTGAAGAATGTTGTTTCTCATGACATGAGTCAATCAAGGTTGTGCTTCCCTGTCATTTAAAAAAAATCTGTATCCTCCTTCTCCATTTCAGAGCCAAATATGGCCGAAAGCATATATCCATTCAGTCAAGAATAAGAAGTAATATTCTGTGACAAACCAAATATGCATTTATTTGCATTCATCCAATTTAAAGCTCTCTTTGGAAACCGAAACTACATTTGTTGCATATCTCACAATTCCACTTGGTACAAACATGTCCCTTTCTAATTATATTAGTCGAAAAGTTAGCTGACTTTAAATTGAATTGCATTCTTTTAAATCGATTTGGAGTTATTTGGAAAAGGCAAATAAATAACATTCTTGACATATTTAATATTTCATATCCTCCCAACCTCAACTTAAGACCAGGGAGATGGAAAACACGCCGTTCTCTGACTGGAGGAGCGAAAACGGGAGCTGTGAGGGGATAGGAGGACAGGGCATCGTGCGGATCATACACAGGTGTGTTATGACCGCCGGCGGTAGCCTTTGGAATGCCAAGTTCAGCTTTGTTTGTGTTTGCGTGCGTGTGTGTGCGCACGGGCATGTTTTCAGCCATCTCAGTCCACTTCCTACTGATGTCTAGGACGGACTAAATGAGCAATAATCTGCGCACATCCCTCCAGATGGCCCAGTGAATTTCCTGTGGCTTAAAGCGCCAGCTGAGCTCTTTGAAAGTTTTTTGATAACTTCTGCAAATGTGATTGAACCTTTGCTTGTTCAGGAATGTGGTTCAGGACACAATGTGCCTATTTCTGAGTCATTTAAAAGAGAAGGCATGCACTTGGCTCCAGTGCTCTGGCGCATACTGAGCAAAGTAGGCTTTTCACTAGGATTTTTACAGGTTTTAAGAATCATCCTAACTTCGATCCTAACCTAAGATCATTCCTGTCTTGAGATGTGCGACATACTCAAACCATAACTGTTTCTTTAACTTTTACCTTTTTTTTGTAACAACAAACGTGTGTACAGATGAGATACATTTTCATGCCTGTGTTTTTAGAGAGCCAAAAAGCATTCAGATCACTGTGCAAACAACGGAAAGTTGCAATAACTAGATAGGAGAGTGGCAAAGAACAGAGCTTTATTCCCCATCATCTGTCAATCAAAGCTACTACCAGGCTTCTAATACTCACAGGCAACCAAATACAAGCAGGAACACGTGTAAAGTGTCATTAATATTTGATAATGTTCTGCCAATTTGACCAGCATTACTTCGGTTTGATGAAAGACTCAAGTGTTTCAAATCTCTGAGCCAAGCTGAAAAAGGAAATATGCAGAAACTATGTAACAAAATAGTGGCCATGAAAGGAAGGGATTTCAGTAGGGGATGCTCACTCGGATGAGAACAGATAGCATGTAGATTGTGTGGAGTTTCTGTTGGGGAAAAGTAGGCAACGCTGAAAAATGACAACAGCGGGCAGGAAAAGTATAACCCTGTTATATACGAGGCAGACAGTTAATGACAATATATTTGTGCATTTCAGCATCCTGGAATCTCCGGCCTGCAGGAGAAGGAGGAAATATCATATTTTTTGTGTGGTTGCCATGGTTACCTGTGTGCGTGAAGGTTGCGCTGAAAGTCTCGACTCCTGCAGGTGATCGGTGATCCGCCTGTGTCAGCTGGCATTAACCTGCTCAGTCCAAAAGACGCTCTGAAACACACGGGCACGCACACCAATGAGCGTAGATAAGCTCACAGGTGTGCTGCCTCCATGAGGCGAGTAAGAAGTGTGATGTTCTCTAAGTCTTGTTTGTTTATTACTTAAAAAATGTTTGTGGTCATCACCATCCATCGTATGCTATTCATGCAGGGCACTTTCTTTAACCCTTTAAAGCCTGATCCAAGAACAAAACAAAACAGAAAATGACTTTTTTTTTGTTTGAATTCCTTATGTGGCCTTTTAACAAAATATGTAAAAAGGAAAAACAGAAATACATTTTCAATATTAATAATTTATTACTATGCGATAAGTCAAGATTATTTTTTGTGTAGTCTTCTGCGCCCTGTTATCAGGTATATCTGATGGTGTACAATAGGATTTTGAGCAAAGTTTTTACCATTAAATTAAAGTAGTCAGACGCAAAACATCTCAGAAACCGTATGTATCAAATATGATACATTTGGCATTATAGGGTTAAATGTGTTGTGTGTGAAACCTAATTCAGAGCATTGTTCCAAAAGGGACATTGGCAGCTACATATCCCCATTCATTT